CGTAAATCATCAGTTCATATGTTATATGTATGCATCCAGCCTGATAAGTTGCTTGTTTGGAGGTAACCTGAGGTTAGTTGAATCCTGTTACTGTGCATCGTGAACTGGTCATCCGGTGTGTCAAAGGTTTGACTGGCTCAAACCAGAAGTAAATTGACATTTGCATACATTCAATCACACTAACTAGAAATAATGTCAACATGAACTGCACGATTTGTTTGGTTTTGTGACTTCTGCATCATGTTATTACAGATTGTTTACCACATAATATACCATACATACCACATGAGAAATTAGATGTGTATATGCGTATACACAAGTAGATTACTGCAACTGCAGACGTACCTTCCAGGTCTCGGATTCGCTTCGTCGCACTAATCAAATTCACTTTCTGTGTTGTATTGTCTTCAGGGAGAGAAAAATATCAGCGTTACTGATCAAATTATTGAATGAGTGTGAAAGATTGGGAGTGTAATTATTTTGTAATGCCAATCACTATCAAGGGAAGAAAATTGAAGGGAGTCAATTCTTCCATTCATCTCAGCAGCATCATTTCCACTACAGATAGTCGGCACGAAAGGGGTTGTCTAAACCAGCTGAGAGATCTCCTACACCCAAAAGAAAGGACGAAATTCTCAATTTCAGCGCCGATGGCAAGATAGTTTGTGAGTCTGTGTGGGTCAGAAACTTCACTGACGCTTCACGAAATGCATTTCTAAGAGGCCACTGAAGATCTTTATCGGAAGCTTTTTCGCCGTATCCATATTCAACGTAAAGTGGTGGGTTGACCAGAAAGATTAAGCAACACGAATGTCTGGGAACAAGCCAAGTAGAATGGATTGGGCACAGGTTGGAGGAACCGTTGACTGACGCCACTTTCTACTCTACATCTCTCTACATGACTGACTGGGAAACAAAACCTTGAGGGCAAGTCCAAGTGTAACATAAGGGATGTGGTCCAAGGAGGAGAAGACAGATTATGTGCCGACGTGCGCCAGCCAGCTAAACGGGTATGCAGAAAAAAGGAAAAAATGTACCGTTAAAGCTCCATCATCCACTCAGAATCCATAAGAGCAGTTATAATAATAATAACAGCTAATGCGCTGCACTTGGTTATCAGAATACACTGGATATTCACATCATTTCAGATTCATGTCGTCCCATTCACTCATGTTCTTTACTTGGTGAAGTTGAAGTGAATCCAGGCCATTATGCAGATAATGTGGCATACCACTTGCCAACTGATGTGAATCACAATTGTCGGTGTGTGTGCAAAACATTTTGTTGACTGGCGTCAATTCCACCTGGCTCGATTTAATTGGAGAACAACATTTCCTACACATCATGAGAAGAAGTGACATATTATGTGGGTTCGCATGCATTCTGTTAATCAATCTATTGTATGGTAAGATATACTTTTGACGTACACAGCATCCTGTGAATACCTTGCTCTGTCAATTGGTGTCATTCTGTGAACAGAAACAGACGGATTTGCAAAGCTCTAAATGAGAGGCCACGATGGAACAGTCAACAGGAGTCAACGTGATAATCATTATCGAGCAAAGTTGTACTGTGGTTGTCAAAACTAAATGACGATAACATTGTGACAGATAAATCATCATCAATGTAATGGCTACGTGTTATGAGCTGACAATCCATTCTTTTGCAAAATGAAAGAACACCGTGAATGGCTCTTCATTGTGCCTTGTTTAAGAGTGTCGTTTCTAGCATTCACATCAGTTCCATACCCCATTCAATTTGTTGTTTCACATGGAAAATGTTGCAGGTAAGGAAAATTGATCCTCAAACACTCACCGTCTTTCTTCAAACACTTTGTCGATGATCTAGACAGGTAAGCATCTACAAGAAATTTAAGAGAATATACGAGATTTACTTGATGTGCTGGGTACTGTTCAATTTTAGTCGAGTTGCATAGTGTTCACATTCAAGATTAAATAATCACCATCAGACATATACTAGCCTGATACATTGGATTAAAATCCAACAATGCATTGTACCTTCCGCATCTCACTAACACCCTTTCGGAATACGAATCAGACTGTTATCCAAGACAAAGGTGGTTTCTCATGACGAAATCCACATGAATTATGCTTCTCAGACACCGAGTTGGACAGTTTTTTAGAGGAACAACAATTACTGGCTCACTGATTGACTGACACAAAACAGTTGACATTATTTAATTTCTGCATGCATATGCCTTGTGAGCCTGAAATTAGCCGCATATGTGGGATAATCATGACATCGAATACAGTGAGTTTCATTCAACACTTGACTGTTCTATTAATTCATAGTAATGGGAAAGGAAAGGTGTCAATTGCTTTACGCTCTCACCTTCAGCAGCATACAATCTCGCTCTGGCTTCCCATTTCTCTTTAATTTTCTTCAAAAGCACTACACTTCCTACAAGAGATAGTAGGGGTGAATATGTATGCTTCAACAGGTGTAAGCTCACAGCTAATCACAGTCACTTGTTGTAAGGAGGCCATTATGTATGTGCAACGTTTACATGCTGCAATGGAATCCTGCTGGTACAATTCGTCCTATTATAGACTGGTCAGCTGGATGTACCTACCTTCTCGAGTGATTGATGGTGGCGAACTTAATGGAACGAACCATGTAGAGTGACTGTCCAATAGACATGCATTGATTAGAACCAACATACTTTAGCTGATTTCAAGATATCCTTACTACTCGCTCAATCACGTTATTCATCCAGCTTCCATGATACACTGAACAAATCAGCTTTGTATGCAATATCAAGAATCCATCAAATTGATACCTATCTCAAAAATGGTGCCTGACAACATTCACTCGACACTAGACAGTGGGTAATCTCATACGATCTGTCTTCTCTTCTGATGCAAACTGAATTCTATCAGTCCAGTTTGAAGTGTGGCCATCATGCTGGGTGTATGAACATCACGGAGAGGATTGCCACCAAATATCTCACATTTTTAATTTTAATTTTTTTTTTTCATTTACAGCTTGATTCCACACCGTATTTTCAGTACAGGTATGGAATTTTCAGCATGGATATCGGTTAGCCCAAATTCAGGCCTACCATAGATATCGGGTGTGCGCCGGCAGGGGATCGAACCCCGGACCATGTGCATGGTCGGCGAGAGTCCTAACCACTGTGCCACCGACGCACAAACAATGCAACTTCACATATGAAATGCTCTTTATCCTTTGCATGCATAGAAACAATGAGTGTGTTCGTAAAATCAATATGAATAAGTAGACAAATAGACGAGACAATCACCAGTGGATTCGGTATAATCGAATGAATGTATATTTCAACTTCAGCAGTCAAACACTGAGTGAACGCACTGTGTGCTAATCACATCCTTGTCAGTGTTGTCAGTATGTCACTCACATGTTTCATAATTGCATCAACATCGAAAGGAAAGAATTACAGTTGAATGAAAATTCGGTAATTACCTATGTCTAGAAAAGTAGATTTATTCAGATGTTTCTCCACTTTGTACTCATCTACAAGCATTAAAATTGTGCAATCACGTAGAAAGATACATGTTGACATATTCAAGTGCAGACAATGATCGTATGTGTAGGATTTATATTTCTTAAGTTTCACTGGTATTGGTACATGTTCGCCGCCAAATATATATATATATACATATATATAGTCAACATCACGACTACTCCTTGTTTCGTGGGAGGCCATAATTTGTGCAGCGCATTGTGATGATACAAGCGGCAAGCTGTCGAATGCAGCAATCAAACATATTTTGGATGGGTTGATATCAGTGGAAGAATCATCGAAAATCTGGCGTGTATGAGATAGCCTGCTGTTTCGTACTAGGTGGAGAGTGATGTCCAGCAATCGCCCCACTGGTGTTATCTTTCAAATGACTTCTTTTTACGGTTGCGCTCATCGAATGGTGCACTCATAGAAAACAAATGAATGTGGTAGAATTCAATTGTGTGTTTATGTAGCTCGATAACAGAACACTGGATGAACACAGCTCCATTTGAAATGTTCTATAAAGTCGAATTCGAGATCTGATTATACTTCTCAAAGTCAGTGAGATAAAGGGATCTGAGCATAGCTAATGTACTAGCAATATTGAAGTCTTTGTATCCAATATAAATGCGTGCAACCTTCTTCTTTAACATGGTCATAGGAAACAGTAATTTCACTCAATAGGAATGATTATGCAGTTGCATTTCTTATCGGAAATTCCTTTTTATTTTGTTATTATTGCATTCTAATCCCTGTTTGTAACCATGTTTATTCAACCCTCAACCAGAAAGGATTCTGAAACATTCTCAACCATTGACTATCAACACACGAGTGTCCAGTCTGGTTGATAACTAAGTCGAAAAGAACAATTTCTTTACATTTCCTTCACGTATGCTTAGTCGAAGCTCCAGCTATACATGGACGAAAACGTAAATTATGTATTGAGAAACGTTCTGTTGAACCCCTTTCTTCACCTTTGTTATAGTAATGTTCTTTTATTTCTGTTTATATTTTACCACCTCAATTCATTCCACTTCAATTCACATTCACTATGTATCTTTATTGTTATCATTATCTTACTGCTTATTTTTCTTAACAACACTTGACCTGAAATTTTCAAATCTTTACACCAGTTCACATATTGAATAATCTCTGAGAGTTTTGTAATTCATCCACTTCAACTCTACCTCGCCCTTAGTACATCGTTTTAATTATCTTTATTCTCATCATCATGTGTGCAGTGTTGACTGAGAAATTTCCAGTGCAGCCACTTAATGCCTTCTCTTTCTGTAATAATAATACGATTGTACAGTTAGCTGGAAAATAAAATCGTTGAGAAAACAGTATTTCTTTGCTGAACAAAAAAGTGCATTCAAATCTGTGAGGTGAACTTCAGGTCAGTTGAAGTAGTGCCACTATTCTCCCCTCTTCACACACACAAAATACCGTATATATACGGTGGATGCTCAAACAATAATCAGTCATTCAGTTGGTGCTCTTAGTGAAGATGACATTCTTCGTCCCTGTTACCTTCCTGTTGCTGAACTATTTGTTGAGCTGCTTCGGTGAGTTGATGAACGTGATTGTTATTTTGTGGCTACATATTTCTTTGAAAATTGGTTTGATTTGATTTTAAATAAAGAGTGTGAGACGAATTCAGGAGGTCTGTTTGGCGTGGGTGAACAGACCTCGATATAATTTCACCACCGAATGAAGTGAAGGTGGATTTCGTGTAAGGTGTTGTAGACAAGTGAGGACGTTGATATGAAGTCGTGATAAGCTTAGAGACACTTATCTCGGTGTATGGCATTTATAATTCAGTGAGTAAATGTCAGTGACGTACTTGCATTTTATAATTCGCCTACCACTCACACATCTCATTCATGGCATACTTTTGAGCAGAGGTATAGACATGTATGAGTTGCATGGCTTCTTAAGCGTACTCTTTGACTCACTGCTTTGTATCTGCATGGCAATTCAAGTTGACACATTGTAAGCAGCACACAAAGGCAGACGGAGGAGGGAAAACAGGGGATCAAAACTACTGTATAATGCGTGTATTAGGACGATTGCCATAAATGGTTCGTCATCACTGAACTCCATGGACGCTACCATAGGCGCTTCTCAAATACTTGTCAGACTAGAACAACTTTCGTTTTTCAGTAATGGCTGGGATCAGTTACTAAAACCAGTATATCTGAGCGTCTTGTGTTTACCAGCGAACCAGATAGCTTTCTACAGGTCTAATCTCCTTCGTTTCAAGCGAACTGCAGTTTGTCGGAACGTAGGCTGAGATTATGAAAAGTCGTCGACGTGTATCACATTCTGACTTTTTCTTAATGATTCAACACCTTTATTCGTTTTCCAGCTGCTCATGCTTCTATCTCGGATGATCAAGGTAAATCATTTAATTAGTGTCCATTCTAATTAACTTAAAAGGCATTCACAATATACTAATCCATCTAAAGAATTACAGCAATGCATACTTTGAAGTTAGATCAAAACAATGTAAGCATTAAGAATTTATTATGATTCATGCACATTCTATTCTTCACTGTATCACTTGAACAAGATTTCTCACTCATTTTTGATTGTCGTCTCATCTAACAACAGTATGCTCTTCTTTTGTCTAAGACACAAATAAAGTGTTTCTCTGCATATGTGTCCACACGATAAGTGGCATGATCGTCTGTGAGTATACCTTCCAGTAGGCGTGTGTAGCAATATGCACCTGATGTATGCAAACATCACATCATACATGGAAGAAATTTATCTCAGAATTGATGACATTCAACATATCTGAGAAATGAATGCAGTGACATTTCCAATGATCGGATATATAGAATTTGTACTGTCTAAGTTGCATTGGGACTCGTACATGTTTTCCGGGAAATATATGTCCAGTTAATATCACGATCACTGGCTTCTTCTATGGAAGGCCATGAATAGTGTTTTGCATTTTTGTGATAAAAGCGGTAAGCTGTTGAATGCAGCAATCAAATACACGTTGAATTTTCATCTTTCAAATATCTTTCTCTCGTAGTTGAGGTTCACATCAAGAGCGCTCACTACAAGGAAGTTAAACAGGTGTTATCAGGTAAGATTATTGATGTGTAAGGGAATTTTATTGGAGGGAATAAAATTTTGCCTCGTTGGTCATGATCTGACGTGAAGTGTATGAGTATCATTTCCAAATATACGTATCACATGGAGTATTCAAGACCTCGTACAATTCTTCCTACTGTTCAAGGTGTACGAAGCAAGAACGATGAATGGACACCGGATAATCAAATGATATCGTAGTTTATTACTTCGAGGATTCCGCCCAATGAACTACAACCTGAACAATTCATCTGGAGCATAAATCACACTCAATTTTTGAACATGATTCTTTTTTTGATAGGAACTAACACTAACATTATTAATTTTTATTAATCTAGAAAGCTACAGACTGGATCGTTTATACGGACTGAAATGGATTAATGAACTAATAGGTAAGTGGAATTTACGAATCTATTTTTCGCCATTTAATTGTTTGGTTGAGCAGAGCTTTTGTCATGTGAATGTTAACTTAACCGAGTGTATTATATGGTCAGAATCAGCCTCTCTGTCGGAGAATTATGATAAGCTACATTCACGGAATTTATTAGACACATGCATTACCAGCAACGTACATCGTGTTATGCTGCATTTCACATAGTGATCATTCTCACTGTTTCACTAATATCTGTACAATTCATTCTAGCGAGCACTGCATAATCGTATTTCACTCAATTAGCATACATAGAAATGATGAAGTCATTGTGTTCGTTCACTAAACAGCACTAGCGATGTTGCCTTCAGTGTCAGTCGAAACTCTACTGGTAGAATATCGATTGGAGTCAGCAAAACATTGTCCGAAATGTGAGATGCACTTTTACACACACACACACACTCATGGGATGCTGGTCTCTCATCACATCTATTTATTATTAAAAACAGATGTGACAATTGATTCCTCATTCAAATACATGAGATTTATTATAATTTTTAACTTCGTTTGCAGCTTCACGTGTTTTCCAGGCGAACGAGGTGATCGACAAAGACACTAAGAGACGATATGCAAGTGAGTTATTTACTGCATGTGTATACTGAGATAATTTAAAGTGTGGCTTACACAAACGAGGTTTCCGTCTCCTTCTTCTTCTTCTCTTATTCGCAACAGTCCACTGGTTGATCGCATGAGACCTCTACTTTGATGGAGCATACCAAGTCGCACTTCTACTTGCAATGTCACGAATAAAGGTGAAAACTGAAATGCAAGGACGTATCCATGTTTTTTTCATTCCCATCCATCTCCCTTTCAGTAGTAAATCAGTGAATCCATTCAGTAAACACCTGGATGAGTGTCTCATTTCAGATATATTTCATAAATAGTGTTAAAACAGTGACATCACTTAGCTTGAACTCACCACTAGCTACATAACCAATATTGAATGTTGAGTAGTGGGAGCATAGTCAGGATTTTATGATGAAGCCAACATTATTGTTCATCTTCACTTAAGTGTCAGCATGTATCTTTCTACGTGATTGCACAATTTTAATGCTTGTAGATGAGTACAAAGTGGAGAAACTTCTGAATAAATCTACTTTTCTAGACATAGGTAATTACTGAATTTTCATTCAACTGTAATTCTTTCCTTTCGATGTTGATGCAATTATGAAACATGTGAGTGACATACTGACAACACTGACAAGGATGTGATTAGCACACAGTGCGTTCACTCAGTGTTTGACTGCTGAACTTGAAATATACATTCATTCGATTATACCGAATCCACTGGTGATTGTCTCGTATATTTGTCTACTTATTCATATTGATTTTACGAACACACTCATTGTTTCTATGCATGCAAAGGATAAAGAGCATTTCAAATGTGAAGTTGCATTGTTTGTGGTCAATGTGAGATATTTGGTGGCAATCCTCTCCGTGATGTTCATCCACCCAGCATGATGGCCACACTTCAAACTGGACTGATAGAATTCAGTTTGCATCAGAAGAGAAGACAGATCGTATGAGATTACCCACTGTCTAGTGTCGAGTGAATGTTGTCAGGCACCATTTTTGAGATAGGTATCAATTTGATGGATTCTTGATATTGCATACAAAGCTGATTTGTTCAGTGTATCATGGAAGCTGGATGAATAACGTGATTGAGCGAGTAGTAAGGATATCTTGAAATCAGCTAAAGTATGTTGGTTCTAATCAATGAATGTCTATTGGACAGTCACTCTACATGGTTCGTTCCATTAAGTTCGCCACCATCAATCACTCGAGAAGGCAGGTACATCCAGCTGACCAGTCTATAATAGGACGAATTGTACCAGCAGGATTCCATTGCAGCATGTAAACGTTGCACATATATAATGGCCTCCTTACAACAAGTGACTGTAATTAGCTGTGAGCTTACACCTGTTGACGCATAGATATTCACCCCTACTATCTCTTGTAGGAAGTGTAGTGCTTTTGAAGAAAATTAAAGAGAAATGGGAAGCCAGAGCGAGATTGTATGCTGCTGAAGGTGAGAGCGTAAAGCAATTGACACCTTTCCTTTCCCATTACTATGAATTAATAGAACAGTCAAGTGTTGAATGAAACTCACTGTATTCGATGTCATGATTATCCCACACATACGGCTAATTTCAGGCTCACAAGGCATATGCATGCAGAAATTAAATAATGTCAACTCTTTTGTGTCAGTCAATCAGTGAGCCAGTAATTGTTGTTCCTCCAGAAAACTCTCCAACTCGGTGTCTGAGAAGCATAATACATGTGGATTTCGTCATGAGAAACCACCTTTGTCTTGGATAACAGTCTGATTCGTATTCCGAAAGGGTGTTAGTGAGATGCGGAAGGTACAATGCATTGTTGGATTTTAATCCAATGTATCAGGCTAGTATATGTCTGACGGTGATTATTTAATCTTGAATGTGAACACAATGCAACTCGACTAAAATTGAACAGTACCCAGCACATCAAGTAAATCTCGTATATTCTCTTAAATTTCTTGTAGATGCTTACCTGTCTAGATCATCGACAAAGTGTTTGAAGAAAGACGGTGAGTGTTCGAGGATCAATTTTCCTTATCTGCAACATTTTCCATGTGAAACGACAAATTGAATGGGGTATGGAACTGATGTGGATGGAAGAAACGACACTCTTAGACAAGGCACAATGAAGAGCTATTCACGGTGTTCTTTCATTTTGCAAGAGAATGGATTGTCAGTTCATAACACGCAGCCATAACATCGATAATGATTTATCTGTCACAATGTTATCGTCATTTAGTTTTGACAACCACAGTACAACTTTGCTCGAAAATGATTATCACGTTGACTCCTGTTGACTGTTCCATCGTGGCCTCTCATTTAGAGCTTTGCAAATCCGTCTGTTTCTGTTCACAGAATGACACCAATTGACAGAGCAAGGTATTCACAGGATGCTGTGTACGTCAAAAGTATATCTTACCATACAATAGATTGATTAACAGAATGCATGCGAACCCACATAATATGTCACTTCTTCTCATGATATGAAGGAAATGTTGTTCTCCAATTAAATCGAGCCAGGTGGAATTGACGCCAGTCAACAAAGTTTTGCACACACACCGACAATTGTGATTCACATCAGTTGGCAAGTGGTATGCCACATTATCTGCACAATGGCCTGGATTCACTTCAACTTCAATAAGCGCAGAACATGAGTGAATGGCACGACATGAATCTGAAATGACGTGAATATCCAGTTTATTCTGATTAGGAAGTGCACCTCAATAGCTCGGTGCGATTGTTATTTTCATTATAACTGTTCTTATGGATTCTGAGTGAAAGATGGGGCTTCAACAGCACATTTGTTCTATTCTTCTGCACACCTGTTTAACTGGCTAGCCAACGTCTGCCCATAATCTGTCTTATCGTTCTCGAAATACATCGCTCATGTCACACTTGGACTTGCGTTCAAGTCTCCATTTCCATGCCAGGTTACACTTCATGAAGAGAGACATAGAGTAAACGGTGGAGTCAGTCGACAGTCGCCCAATCCATCCTAATCGATTCGTTCCCAGATAATCTTGTTACTAAATCTTTCTGGTAAGCCCTACCACTTTACGTTGATTATGGATACGGCAAAAAAAGCTTTCGATAAAGATTTTCAGTGGCCTCTTAGAAATGCATTTCGTGAAGCGTTAGTCAAGTTTCTGACCCACACAGACTCACAAACTATCTTGGCATCGGCGCTGAAATTGAGAATTTCGTCCTTTCTTTTGAGTGTAGGAGATCTCTCAGCTGGTTTAGACAACCCCTTTCGTGCCGACTATCTGTAGTGGAAATGATGCTGCTGAGATGAATGGAAGAATTGACTCCCTTCAACTTTCTTCCCTTGATAGTGATTGGCATTACAAAATAATTACACTCCCAATCTTTCACACTCATTCAATAATTTGATCAGTAACGCTGATATTTTTCTCTCCCTGAAGACAATACAACACAGAAAGTGAATTTGATTAGTGCGACGAAGCGAATCCGAGACCTGGAAGGTACGTCTGCAGTTGCAGTAATCTACTTGTGTATACGCATATACACATCTAATTTCTCATGTGGTATGTATGGTATATTATGTGGCAAACAATCTGTAATAACATGATGCAGAAGTCACAAAACCAAACAAATCGTGTAGTTCATGTTGACATTATTTCTAGTTAGTGTGATTGAATGTATGCAAATGTCAATTTACTTCTGGTTTGAGCCAGTCAAACCTTTGACACACCGGATGACCAGTTCACGATGCACAGTAACAGGATTCAACTAACCTCAGGTTACCTCCAAACAAGCAACTTATCAGGCTGGATGCATACATATAACATATGAACTGATGATTTACGCACACACGGTTGAGAGTACTACTTTCAATGAATAAAGCAGAGAACGAGGCAGTCAGGATGTGGCAGTGTATTCTGAAATGACGAATCATCACTTTGCGTCACTCAGTGTAACCAGTGCAAAATGTGTGAAGAACGCAAAAGGATGTTTCAATCGGTCATTAAGCAGTAGCCGGTATGATGTGTCTAGTCCTCAGGTTGTTGCAGACTGCATTTTAACATCAGTCAATATTTGAAATGTGTCCACACCATAGGTTGGGTGAATCGCCATCATGATGCACGGGATCAATATTAGGTGATATTTGGAATGACAAGGACATACGATATAGCAAAAGAATCGGTGATCACGACGAATACTTGTCAAACGGCGGTGTTATTCAATGACAACTTGCACTGCTAGCCGCCCGTTACTTCATCGACCACAAACAATGAGGTGAATTGACAAATTATGAAACATATGTCCGCAGCTTCCTGCCGATTACTCCCAAACGTCTAACCACAATTCTGTGAACTGCATTGTAAGTTGAGTGTGTAGAGACTAATCCTCGAACATCTTGAAGACAGTGTGAAGGGTTGAGACGAGTAATGAATAGACCATTTATTTTCTGTTCAAAGGCATATTTTAATCTTTGTAAACTTCTTTTGACCTCTAACAGTCAATGATCACAATTCACTGTATAATTTTTCAGAGTTTGTCAATGTGAAGCTTTTTGAAACAGGTGAAGCATACATGAATGAAGAAAGTAAGTAGAATGTAATGAGTGTGTATGAAAACAATATTCTGAAGGATTATCATAGTTAGTAACCATTCGACTGCAATGAACAGCCCTCAATGATAAATTCAATGGATCGCTAATACTCGACGACATTACCGGTATCATGAAGGACATATTTCAGATTGCGAGGCACTTCGATTAGCACATCAGTAGATCACATGTCCCCTCAACTGTCTTTCGCGACATTTCATTCATCACTATCGGAATTGTCTTATCACTTGATGAGTGCAGTATGCAATCTCCATGAAGTGGCTTGCAGGATTTTGATTTGATTTGAGTCTGATCATTGAAAGTCTGCGGTGACGTGACGCAGATTGACAGGAAGTGGCCGGCACTGGAATCAACATTTCGAGAGAGTGGCTGCCGTGGAGATAGAATCGTTTATTCACCGAATCTGGATTTCCATCACTTTGACGACATGAAATAACCTCGGCGCGAGACGTGTTTAGCCTTGGGTGAATCGTCAACCAGTCAGAAACATTCATTCTCCTGTGAGCTAGCCGAGATTTAATGTGGCTAAAACTGTTCAGATATCAGGTGTTTTCTCTTGCTAAGATCAATCAATCACCGTACCTGATGCAGTGACAAGTATAACCATTCGTGATTGTAGCGTCATCACTGACCACTGTCATTCGCGTGTAATAATCTCTACACGCGACGTCATAGATCCCAGTGGTCACTACTTATGACTGGAACTACACGTCACTTTGTCATGTATACAGCCAATCACTGATGGGCGTCAGATTATTCTCGTGAGTTACTTCGTAGAGACTTGATTAGCTTCAAGTTTCATCACGCATTGATATCAGTTGGAGAGGCATTGGCCATTGGTACACTGAATCTCTGGGATTAGGGAATAATTCGTTAGATTTCATTGGATGTTTCGTAATATCTCTTAGTCCCATAGACAATCAATGCAATTGATTTGTGACAATGTGAATTCATGACGAGTGTTCCTGACTAGAGGACAAGTGTTCAGTATAGCCGTGTTTTATGACCTGACCGATGTCATTGAATAGCCTGACTTGTTTTATACGCATCATCAACTACACTGCCGAATTCAATGACAATTCTCTGTTTGAATCTTACAGAATCAGACCTTAATTACAAGATGAATGCAGACAATTTGATGACTTATATAAGTAAATTATTTTGGATCTGCTTTTTTACTTAATGCTAAATTTTAATGTTCGATATTTATTAATTTGCATATTTCTGTTACTTTCACAATAAATTCATCTACAGTGTGTCCACATCAAGTAGTAAAGTTGTGACGAAATGCTCGAGAAATTACCAGTTGAATTCATCTATTTCTTGTGACGAGCGCATACGTTGATCGACATGAAAATGTTGTGCAGTAATTGAATTTGATTTGTCAGCTCCAGGCAGTGAGGTTTGGATAGATTTCGAGGTGTAGTCGTGAAATTTTGGCAGTTTTGTGGTGATATCATGTAAATTTGAGGGAAATGTTGTTCAGTTGTGTGTAATGTACGTGTTTTTGAGTATTTCAGACTAAACGGAGGAATTGACTTGACTATGAATTGCCCCAAATGATTATATTTCATGGCTTTCATGAAACACTGAAACTTGGAGATCAATTTTTTTCAGTTATTTGAAGGAAATGAGATTGCGATTCAGCTCGCCATCATACTGAACAACATGTTTCCTCTGCAGTCTCAACGTCAAATATTCTGTGAATTTTGTGTCTCAGTGCCTTCCATACCACTTAATTATTGGGAGATTTATTTTCATTTCTTGTCAGCTTACCTTTCTGAAAAAGTAGTCGAGGTGGAGCTTGAACGACTTAATTATTTACAAAGTAAGTCAATCTGAAATCATAACAGTTTCATACCCTATAGTACTTGGTCCAAGAGAAAGAGCGAAAGTCTTAATAGACACAGTGAATGCGGAGTTTCACACACCAGCAAAGTAAGTTCAGTCTGTGTAACTTGTGTTCATGATGAAATGCATTCATTCATTCATTCATTTATATATTCATCGCGGAATTGATTCATGAACATTTCGTGACGTTCGTTGCATATCCCTCACCTGATAACAGAGAGGAATATTCTGCATGAAGTTGCAGTTAATGACTTGGATATGTCTGAACGATGATGGACAATTTCAGTTGTCAATTACTCGACAGCATTCTTGATGGAATGAGGTCTAAACTTCAAGTTGATCTTGAGTGTTTGCTGAATGGCACATTTGTGTGGTTCCATCAAGTGGCAGTCATGTGTCACAGTCATCTGTCCCAATCCATCAACCCCCAACAGTGTGGCTTTAATTCGTGATGGGAGACACGTGGCAGTGGGCAGTGTGAGAAAATTGTATCAAATATTCTGGAATAATGAGCTTCAGAAACACTTCCTCTCCTTGATGTAAAGTCACGCTGCAATGTGCCCTGCTCTAATCTACTCTCCGTGTGGAAGGCATTCTCTTCGAGATCCTTGTATACTCTGCGGCATGAAAGTAGATGGACTGTGGTAAGTGCGCATTGTAGTGGTCAGGTGAGTGAGATTACCTCTCACACAGACGAAGAACAAGCTTTGGCTGACTGATGAAAGTCAGTTGAAGTATCGATGCGAATGTGGTATTTATGGAGTGGTTTGAAACTCGGAACTCTCAATCCATACTCCACTGAGCTGTTGCACATTTCGCTAAGGGGAACATTATCAGCGTCAGACAGTCATCGTATACGGGAAGTAATATTGTATAATTTTGCACTGAATGCAAGTGACATCATTTAAGCAACAGTTTCATGTCTTCATTCAGCGTCCTGACAGCATCTTGGGGTTCAAATGACATAGATACCATGGTCAAATTAGTCATTTATTTATTTAGTCGGACAACTAGTTAGTTAGTTATTCGGTTGATGTTGATTCTGGTACTGATTTTTTCATAAAAATGGACGAACATATGTGTGTCAATTGATCCAACTGGTGTGTGATTCTTGTCATTTTTCAGATAAACATCGTCTACCAGCAATGGATGAGCACACTGGTGGAACATATGAGCCATATATTGAAGTCTTAGCGTGTATTCGCGATTACTTTATAACTCTTAACTTAGTAACTCTCTCTTCGGCAGAAATGTTGGCGAAAATACTTTTCTCTCTGCTTTTGTAACTGAATTTAATACAAATAAATGTGTGGGTGTGTGTCAGTTTTATAAACCGCGTGTTATTTTCTGAGCAGATGTTTTGCGGTGAGAATGTGTTATTGAGTGCTAGTTTACCGAGATTTGTTTGGTTACAGTCCCGCTCACCAGCTGGTATGGGTTGGAGAATATTTAGAAAGCTGCAGAAATTACCAGGTGACTGCTTTCACCTACTATGCCATCACCGGTGTTCGAACTCAGTGAGTGAATGGATAGTGAGCTCGTCTTTTAACCAGAAGATGATGTGGTTGCCCTCTGTGGCTGCTTCTATCCTTAAGGCCACAAACTAGGAGGTATCAGCCATCCAGTGTTCCCTGCTGGTTTTTCCAATGCTGATATCAGCTCATGAGTGGATCTCTGACGTGCCGAAATCTTTTTCATTCCTCTAATTTCATAGTGGAGCAAAGGGGTTCGAGCTAGAGATTTGAACTTTCTGCAGCGGTTAAGATTATTTTTCCAGGATGGGGTTGCTAGCCTCATGCCCGACATTCCCCCTTTACCAGTCTCACTACGGTTTTGGCGAGGTAAAGTGGTGCGTCGGTCAGGGAGCAAACCCTGAAACACTTGCGTGGTCCGCGAGCACTCCACCACTGTGCTTATATCTTACCCACGTATAAATTAATCGTTTAATTTCAAGTCATTCCACATCGCATTTTCAGCATTCTCCTCTAGTCACAACACTTCAACATGTGTAATCAGTGGAATTCTGTCATACCCTCAGTATAACATATTATGTCTGCTTTGGTGAACACAGTTCTCGTGTAGTGCGGAGGAATAATGAAAGAATCTCAGATACTGAAGTTTGATGACCATACCAACATTACTTGTAGAAATGTGATTCTACCTACTGAGGAATAGTGACTGTTCCAAAGGATATGTGACTGCGATTCTGTCACCAGAATATTGCAAAGGGTTCTACATAGTGGGCAGTGATACCCCTGTCACTTATCTACCTTAATCTTAAACAAGAGGAAGACGTGTAGAGTAACATGAACCTGCGAGTTACTATAAGAACAAAACTATCGCATTCGATGTGAAAAGCGCTTGATCAATCAGTCCCTGTCACATATGACATTGATTGTAAGCTACACTTCATATTTCAGACCATTACACAACCTCGATTAATCAAACCACACGTTGACTGACGCGTGAAATCCCAAATCACAGAATCTGTCTGAAATACGGTACTGTATTCAACATAAAACTTGAAATATGATAAACAAACCTCAATTGTGGAGTTCTTTGACTGAATGCAGTCAGAAGCACAGTCAATGTGCGTCAATCAGATAAAACAGCAAAGCTGTGTCAAAGGCGACTCACGCATTGACTTAAACAGTGTTCGAATGCCAGACACAGAGGACTGGAATACGAATAAACAATCATCAACTGTCACCATGAACTTATTGAAACGTTCACACTTTCGGCGAAATAAAATCAGTCTTTCACAGCTTGCACGGCTAGCTGTTAAAGAATGATTTCCATCTGCTCCAAAAGTCAACAGGCAACCTTATGTAGGAGCTAGTTGATCTTCGAAAGTATAGGTCCCAGAGAGACTTCTTTTTATATGATTTTGAAAGGCCAAATATCTGCAGCAGACAGGACCGTCGAGGTTTCAATTAATTGTACTGATTGCTGTCATTCAATTTCTTCTCCAGAAGAACTCTCAGCACGTTCGTGATGAGATTTTCAGCTGCATCTGCCTCGTCTTTCAGACTGTCATCGACCTAAAACCTAAGCCGGTCATACAGCGCAGTTTTAAGCTTTGCGATGTAGTCATCTTAGTCAATCAGCCTCATTCACGTGATTGGTGATTTCGAGGTGTTGCGTTGATTGGTAGTTGGTGGTGCTTAAAATTTAAATATGCTCTTGCAGACATGGTTGCGTTATGAGTGGCATGAAGTGTGAAATTATGGTCTAGGTATTTCTCAGAGCTAATACAAATCAGTGAATATGTGTTTTTTTCATTGAATTTCATACTATGAAATCTACAGTATCTAGAGGTAGTGAATAGAAAGGGTTGCGAAATACTTCTGTCTTTTTGCACAGATCTCTTACTGGTGAATGACTGTTTGAGGTTAGACCACGGAATGATATCAGTCAGAGAATTATTGAAAGTCATCAAGGAGTACTGAAGAGATATTTAATCACCCTAATTTGAGACTCATGGAATCTAGGACCTTACAAGGCAAGTTCGTATCCAATTCAGACACTGCCACCGGTACAATGACCAGCCCATGAGTTCAAACTTCCATCAATTCGACATTTTGCAAGAGTGACATCAACGAATGCCATCGGCTGGATCTCGATTATCACTCAAACTGGCTGCACCCCAACGGTCACAAACTCTCTTTACCGCTCATAGAAGCTAGTCCTATAGCCAGTCACATACTAGCTCGAATCAGTGGGTGCGTACTACCGATGAGTCTCAAACCAGGGCGGAGGAAACTGCTGTTCAGCACTCCTTGTTCCTTTCAACGCTTCGCTAACTGATATCAATCAGTGGCCTAACCTGAGAAACAGCTGCTTTTCACATCATAATTTGCAATGTACTACCTACCATCACAGGTAATGAGTAAAGCAAGAATAATTTGAAAAAAAATACATACTACTGATTGGATGACATGAGTAGTTGTACACGATTCATATCAAATCGTAGTACTTCTCAACTAGACAGATCGAAGCGATCTAAACACCGGACAGTTGACAATTTGATAAACGCGGTTCCAAATAAGCACAATGACCGTCAGGTTTTTGGTTCCATTCGATCTGGTTATCTAGCACGTACCACTGTAGTTGATTCGAGCAGTATACAACAACCATTCAACTCAGTCATTCAGTTGCATGCACTGTGATACAGTTTAGCTGTGCTTACATCTCTGTGTATAAATGTCGAGATTAATTATCGCAGTATTTGCTACTTCGATTTTGGGTGTGTTTCACTTTGTTTGTTGTTCGCCTTTTTCTTTGATTTTCTTATAATTCACTGCAAAATGATTCAGTGTGAATGACATCAGTTGAAAGCATCACTCAAAAGAGACCAATATTGAGAAAACGAATTCACCTTCTACGCCTTTTGTTTTCCGTATTTACAGTCTCCTTGTTTTGCATTCATTGAGTCGATTACTGTTTATATGTGTGTCCAGATTGGAATGATTCCAAAAATCAATTCCTGGGAGTTGATCGCTCACTTTGATTTAGACTCTTACATTCATAACGAGAACTGAATATCAATGAAAATCACCATTCTTAGATCAATTCATCAGTGAGCAAAACCTCAGATGAGAAGACAAGTACTCAGATTTTGAGCTGTCTAGCGATTTCGACTTATTACAAAATAGATTTCATGAACAGTTGGAGAGTCTTTCAAAATCATGTAGTCCTACACATCCTTTCCTTCCTTGTTTGAGACTTTCCATCAGTAGACACCGATGACCCTTCGAGAGTTCGAACTGATTACTGTAAGGCTACGAGGTGAACACGGTGGCCATTCAGTCAGTCGGCCAGGATTCAGTTACATGTGAATTCTATGTGTGACACGGAGAAATAATCGCACACTGAAGGAGTGGATAGCATGAGAGGGAAAGAAATCGGAGACAAGGCTCACACTGATTGTAGTAATACAATGTACTTCCCCTCAGGAAGCCACAAAGAAGTCAGTTGATATTCTTGGGTTGGAAACTACAACTACCAGTGAACAATAGGAGTTGGAGGTGACAGCACCAGTTGGGTATGCAGAAATCGAAAATGGAACAGTAAGAGGAGCTCAGAAGTGTGAAGCATCAGGAGATGATTGACGTTGTGAAATCCAAGTGAATGGAAAAGAAGGAATGTATATTTTTTGAATCAGAGATAAGATGAAATGTGGAGAATGACAGTGTTCTGTTGGTAGAGGGCCCGTTTGATGTAAACTCCTTGCGACTTGGGAAGTTCATAGAGATGTGGTCATGTTTATGTCATCATGATGGGAGATGAATAGAAAGAAGTGTGCTGACTGGAGTGAACTTCAGTGACGGATATCGTGGTATAATGAAGTCACTGCAGAGAAACAACATGATTAAGTAGCATCAAGAAATTCGACGTTTCCCCGTCATAGATGCTTATGACGAGGAGGAAGTATGTGGAGTTTGCTACGCAAGGTTATTTACAAATGTCATGTTATGTGTTATATTCGCTGCGAGAATCTCCAGTAGCGACGCGACAAATCAAGTGGTGAAAAGGAGTAGTTGTGAGCCTGTATCACTAGTGTTAACCTTACGGGAGATCATAACTATTGGCAATAAAAATAGGGATTCCAAAGTACGGTGACTGTAATTTTCCGTCACCATGTGCCTTCCACGGAATATTACTCTCTTCTTTCGATGATCCTGACCCATATTTCTGGTATTATCAAGACTTTGAATTAAATATTATCGGGGAATACACAGATTAGATCATCGGAGAAATTAAAAACATCATTGTTGCACCGAGGAAAATTTCCTTTTCGACGAAGTCATCAATTAGCCTGTATTTACAGTGAATGGATGAGAAAGTGTGAGAACTGTTTCTCGTCTCTCATCAAATTATTAGCGATACAAGTAGAGATTAAAATAAAGTAACCAGGCAACTGGTTTCGTAGGGATTACACTGCTTCAGTCTTTTCAAGTACAAACATAAGCAAGTGCTTGAGACATTCGTCAAAGTTCTCGAGGGTGACTCATCATTTTACAACCTGAAACACTTCTGCAGATACACTTTATCACTGAAGATAATCGACTAGGAATGTAGCATCGAATCTCGTCTTATCACTATTGATGAGTTCTCCAATACAATCTA